GACGAAGTCTCATTCTGTCATCCAGGCTGGAGTGCAGTGGCACGATCTTGGCTCACTGCAGCATCCGCCTCCCAGGTTCAGGCAATTCTCCTGCCTCAGCCTCCTGAGTAGCTGGCATTACAGGCGTGTACCACCACACCCAGCTAATTTTTGTATTTTTAGTAGAGATGAGGGTTCACCCTGTTGATCAGGCTGGTCTCGAACTCCTGACTTCGTGATCCACCCACCTCAGCCTCCCAAAGTGCTGGGATTACAGGTGTGAGCCATCATGCCCAGCCCATTTTTTAGTATTAAGGACCATCTAAGATGGCTCTATTTTTTTTGCCACGTTATCATTATGGGGTCACACCTAAATCATAGAAATACAAAACTGACTTTACCACTGTAACTTTTCTCTTTCCTTTCTTACTAAAGACTGATACATCACTAGTCATTCTATTTTATAATTGTATTTGACATTTTGTTCACATCAACTCATGTTCACCTGCAGAGGAGAACAAATTTCGAATAATCCAGGGAAACCCAAGAGCCTTACTCGTCTTCTGTAACTAGCAAGACTGACAGCTTTTTAATGTATCGGTGTTTGATAAACACAGTCCTTAATTGAAGATTAAACCAAAGCATCACACTGACATTAGACCAAACACTTTTTATTCCCAACTACTCCTTTGTTGTTCTTCCGTGCTTTCCTGTAGTGAGAATTTTTCTAAAGACTTCCCGCTGCTCTTGCCACCCATCCTTCTCTTTTCCGCCTCTTACATGTGAATGTTGAGCCCACAATCAACAGTGGTTTTATGTTTTTCCTCTACTCAAAGTTAAAACTGACCAAAGTTACTGGCTTTTTACTTTGCTAGAACAACAAACTATCTTATGTTTACATACTGGTTTACAATGTTATTTATGTGCAAATTGTCAAAATGTAAATTAAATATAAATGTTCATGCTTTACCAATCCTTGTCTAGTGTCTTGCATGAAGGCCAGTGAGCGACATCTTCTCCATACTGTACAATGGCACCAGGCCAGATTTCGAACACAACACAGTTTGCCTGTCCCCCACCCCCACCCCTGTTCCGCTTCAGCAGCACCCTCTGGTATGCCCTGATCTCCTCCCAACTCCTGCCAGGACTATATTTGTGCGTGATCTGACAGCATCGATCTGTCATAACTGTAAGATTTCTCTTTAATTATGAACTATAAAAATGTTCTCTAAAGGAGGCATGTCAAGCATCAGCCACTAAGTGGGAGACAATTTGTTTTGTGAAGTTTTATATTTTATTTTGTCAATGGACATGGGGTGGTGAGGAGATAAGGAGGACTTGGATCACCTCCAGAAATGCCCCGCCAGCTTGTGCCAGTCTGTGTGCATGTGTGGAGACTCAGCCCCCTATGGGAGTGGGGCTCTGGGAAGCTTGTAGGAACACTTTGCCTGTTGGTGACAGCAGCTTCAGTAGCTTACTCTCAGCAGGCCATGGGGAATGCCCTACGTCCCATGTTTTCTCCCCCACATAGATGTAGATGTGCTACTTGTGCTTTTTTTTTTTTTTTTTTTTTTTGAGACAAGGTTTTACTCTGCCACCCAGGCTGGAGTGCAGTGGAATGATGATATCTCACTGCAGCCTTTACCTCCCAGGCTCAAGCCATCCTCCCACCTCATCCTCCCGAGTAGCTGGGACTACAGATGCATTCCACCAGGCCTAGTTAATTTTGTTTATTTTTGATAGAGACAGAGTCTCACTATGTTGCCCAGGCTGGTCTCCAACCCCTGAACTCAAGCGATCCTCCTGCTTTGGCCCCCTAAAGTGCTGGTATTACATGCATGAGCTACCGCACCTGGCCCACTTGTGCATTTAAAACAAATTTCCAGAAAGCTACTTTCCCAGAGTCTGAGCACTGTTAGTGTGAGAGCCAGGAATCTTGGTGGTACAGCCATGTGGCCCTGTGTGATGGGACAAGTTTAGCCATTCATGCTCCAGAAACTAATCTGTCTCCAGAGAAAAGGTTCACATAAATTCGAGTCTCATTTGATAGATGTAAGTAGGAGATGCTTCTAGAAAAGTGATAGTGTACTCAGTGAAAAGAGAATCTAAAAGCCTTTGCAAGTGGTTTTCATGCTTCCCATTTCATCTATTAGCAAATTTATGGTTTTATGCACATGCTAACTGCATGTTAAAAGAAAATAATGCTCCTGCTTACACTTGGACACTCAGAACTGCCCGATGTTTTGTTTTTAATGTTTCTTCTTTAAATTCACTTCAACATCTGTGCCAAGAATTTGAAATGCTGCCAACATGTAACTGTGAGGTTAAGAAAACCAGAACCCTATTGTCATAAACGTGCCAAATGGTGCTGGTTATACTCCTAAATTCTACAGAACCATTGTGGTAATAATTTTTCAAAACAAAGTTCAATAAGATCCTGAGTGTCACAGTTAAATCCTATAAATCACAGTTCTTTACTTGGCAAATCATGTCTTTTTTTTCTTGAGAGTTACATATCTTGGGAACACTTGTGGACTTAGCTGTTTAACAAAACATTACATAAAAAGATAATATTCACTAATGAGCCCAAGTCCACCCAGCCAAAGTCCATACTGCTGGATCAAGGCTTCATGCAGCTATTTGTAGGGCAAAGTAAGACTGAAGAAGTCACCTTTTTCTGACTTTTCCTTTAGCAAAATAAAAGCTCTGTGCTGAAATTATGCATTTAATTCCCTACCATAAGCCAATATAGAGAATATACAGTGCTATGGGAGTCTATACGTTTCTAGATATTTTTCCCTTGGGGGAAATGAAACCAATTTAGGACCCATAAGTTGGTATAAATGAGCTTATTCCTTTGTGTGTGTCTGTGTGTGTGTGTGTGTGTGTGTGTGAGAGAGAGAGAGAGAGAGACAGAGAGACACAGAGAGAGAAAGAGAGAGACACACACACACACACACAGAGAGATGCCTTCTCTAAAAGGAGAAAAGGCCAGAACAGAGGAATGAAAGTAATTAGAGGCACATGGCAGAGAATTTCTAATGCAAAACCAGGCCTCCAGGATAATCCAGTCTAGAAAGGAAGTCTGTACCCCAGAAGGCAGCAGCTAAAAGAAGTGATGAACAGGAGAAGAGTTAGATAGAATGTGATCTTTGAACCAGTCCAGAAGGCACTTCTAGTTCCTTTCAGAGACTGTGGAGCTCTTTGCCCATAACATGTCATTTCATTCTCAGCTTCTGGCCAGAAGAAATTAGATCATTTTGAGCAGCGGCTACCAAGCCCACTTCTGGGTATGTAGTAGCTACAAGGAATGTTACAGGATCGGTGGGTAAGCTTCCCCGACATCGTTTTTCAAGCTACAAGTCCTCAGAACCCAAGTTCATTTGCTCCAAAGTGCTGCTGACAGCTGCTCCTTAAATAAGTGAGAAGTGATTTTAATCTCAATACAGTCTTAATCGTGTAATTCAGGCAAAAATGCAGCAAGATTCCAAAAAGTTATTTTTAACTGAATTTATGCAAATAGTCACTCTCCCAGCCCAGTTTTACAGCATCCCATAAACTAACAACCCGTCTCCTAGTTTGCTCTTCCTTCCAGGTTTGAAGAGTAATGAACCAGCTGGCTGTGTGCACATTTCTTTCTCTCTGAATTTTCAATAGGTTTTATTCAGCATAAACGTGAACGGAGTCATCTTGTGGTTTTCCCCTACCCCCATCATAAAAGAAAGGAGAAGTGACAGATGAATAGCAATGGGTAATTCTGGTAAGAAATTCTTCAATGTGTTAACAAAGGGGGTTCTCATGGAATTGTGGCAAAGATCCCCAACTTTAGGTATCTTAAAGATTCACTTGTGGATGATGGCAACCAGCCCTTCCCCATTGTGGGTACGGAGAAGAGCAGAGGAAATGAAATAAAAGTGTCGCAGAGGGGACTTGGGCTTAAATCATCAAAACGAACACCTACACTTAGGGTTTGTAACACAATGGATTCCTTTCCATGGGAAAGAGTAGTCGCCATCCTTGCAGGGCTTAGAGAGGAATCGGTATGTTTGAAAGCACAGATGAACAAGATGTTCTGGCAAACTTCTCCTACATCTTTTTTTTTTTTTTTTTTTGAGATGGAGTTTTGCTCGTTTCCCAGGCTGGAGGCAATGGCGAGATCTCGGCTCACCACAACCTCCGCCTCCTGGGTTCAAGCAATTCTCCTGCCTTGGTCTCCTGAGTAGCTGGGACTACAGGCGCACGCCACCATGCCCAGCTAATTTTTGCATTTTTTGTAGAGACGGGGTTTCACCATGCTGACCAGGATGATCTTGATCTCTTGACCTCGTGGCCCACCCGCCTCGGCCTCCCAAAGTGCTGGGATTATAGGCATGAGCCACCGCGCCCAGCTCCTAGATCTTTAATGTTTAATGTTCCTTAATGTTCCTGAGGCCTCCTTGGAAATTTGCTGTGTATTTAGGCAGATCTGGAGAGCCCATCTAATTCTGAGGAAGAGACTCTGATACCATGAAATGAATTATCCTGTATATTCTGTAAAATATATTAAGAGATATTCAATATTTGAATTCCCAGGGAATCTGGAAGGGGATGAAATTGACCATGAGACATGGTGCCACTGTCACCTGCATTACACGTGGCACTCTGTAAATCAACCTCCAGGCTAGCAGCCTTTTAGTGCCGTTATCACTTAAGAAGAGAAGGGACCATCTCTGCATTCTCTCCTCTCGTCTGCACTGCGTTCCTTGAGTACTGTTTCCCGTCCACACAGGCAAAGGAAATGAGACGCACCTCAGTCCCCTTCCACACAACCCTATCTTGCCTGTCCAGGTTTTAGTACAAGTAGCCT